CCCGAAAATTATAAGTTTTTGCAAAGATAATGCAGACACTGGGTTCCACAGCTTAGGAGAAGCTGTTTGCCTGTCCTTTTACAGTGAGGGAATGAGGTACAGGGATTGGAAATAGCAGAATTAATTCATTAAATAAGAGCCCTGTAAAGTAAATAAAAAGTTTTCAACTTTTTTAAAAAAAAATGACTTGCACAAACGCGAATTGTTTTGCAGTATTTTAGGATCCCAGGCATTATTAGGGTGTTGCGTGTTTGGACCTAAACCCACAATATCTTCTCAGTCCCAAAATATTGCACAATCTACAACATCAATGTGGTCCTAAAGATACTTAAATTCCCAAATGGCAAGCATGAATTAAACTGCACGCAAACAACCTACAGATGCAAAACATTTGTAAATGATTACTGTTTAAAAATGGTCAAGAAAAACAAACAAAAGAATAGCCAGAATACTATGTAAATGCTGTTTAAATGAACTGACAAGTTTAAGAACATATTTCCTCTTCAGTTAGGATTCTGATGGAAAAATCAAGGGAAAGCCCAACAATGTTTGTTTTAACCTTTTTGTTGGAGAAAGATCAACTCAAAAAAGACTCTCTAAACTTTTGCATTTTGAACAGCAATAAAATCAAGACATTAAAAGAATACCACTGACCCATAAATCTTCAGAATATTTAACCTTTTCGGAGCAAATTGTGAAGAAACAACATCGTCGCCATAAAAACTTCCATTTTAAAACTTTCTTTAAAGTACAAAAATCTTTAGAATTTATGGCTCCCAGTGACAATTTTTCTGTTGCAGCACAATGTGGAGAGTCACAGGTCACTGCAGCCTAAGAGAGTCCGAAACAGCAGTTACCGCATCAGCTCCAAACATTAACAGGTTAGCGATCAAACAGGTGGCAAAAAAAAAGAAAAATTCACATGGATTCAATGGAAGAAAGGGAATTTTTTTAAAACCTCACTGACGATCAGGCAAATTTTTAAAACTCTGCTGTTTTTAGCAACTGGAGGATGTTGGGTCTAATTTTGAAAAGTGTTACCAGAGGTTAATTATTTCATTATTTGTAGCAAAGCCTGAACCTTACTGTTCACTCTACAATTATTTTTATTGTAGCGATTACATTCTGTAATAGTCTGCCTTTTGAACTTGAAGTGTGCTCAAAGGAATGCACATTAATAGCATATGGAATTAGTTCAGCTGAAGGAAGTCCCTCCCTGAAGCACAATTAAATATCAGTGCAAACCACATTCTTTCTAATGGAAACACTGTGCACTGAAGCAAATCCTTAGACTACGCATAACTAATAGGGGCAAACCAATTAGCAGGATTACAACATATGTTCATGACACAGAAATGATTACTGCAATCCCATGGTCGTAAGCTTCTTCCATTTATTGATGCGTGCAATGTTTGGAGATCTTAAATATTTTAAATAGTCTGTATTACTCAAAACTATTACGTAAGCTGCAATCTGTTTCATTCACTGGTAGTCATGTTAAACAGGTAATACTGCGAGGCTAACAACATATTCAGTCATATAAGCCATCTCAAACAGCAAGTAAACAGTTAGTTGAACGTGTGTAGATGTAGAGAAGTGAGAAACATACCATACTAAGAACCAATGGTATCTCCTGAAAGCTGGCCTTGCACGACAACAACAACAACAACGACATCAAGATTACATTTGTATAGTGCCTTTCACGTCGGGAAGACGTCCCAATGAATACAGTGAAGTCAAGGGTGTCAAATAGCATGAAGAAAGCAGGCAAATCAAACTAAATTGCCATTTCAACCTGCTCCCTGCACAATTTTCACAGAATTAGAAGTGGCTAACGAAAATCAGGATTACAAACATGGATGGATGTTTTAAGGTCAAAACGGCGACATTTTCTTTTTCATTATGTTAATTATTTTAAAGTAAACCCCATTATGTGTGGACATTTTTAGCTTCTGACAGTTCATGTGTGTTGCTAAATAAAAATCAAAAGGCCTGAAAGCAAAATGTGAAACTCCTTATTGCGGAAATATTATAAACAGTTTTTGCATGAATTGTTCCAATGCAAATAAGTTAGACAGATGAGTATTGCTGATATTTGATGCATAAAATAGCAGTTGTTATTACAGCAAAGTAATCATATCAATTTGCCTATTAATTTTGAAGATATATGCACGGAGAATTTTAGATCAACTTTTTATTTAAAGAGTCTATTATTTCAGGATTAATTTTGGTTGGGCATATGATTGAATGTCAGGTTGAGTAAATACTGGAATACCAATAATCTAGCAATCCTTTCTTGAAACATAAAACCCCGTTCCTCCCGGCAACAAAAAGGTTTTCCCATGGTCTGTGGTGAAATCAAAATAGAGAGAGGACTGAAGGGAAACAACTTACAAATATTGATGCTGTTCACATGACATGCATTATTTAGTTATGTGAATATTCATAATCTCTCACAATATCAGGTCCACCAACCTTTATCATAGAAATAGCCACTAAGTTTTGTTCCTGGAAATACCACAGATCTTGAAAAATAGATTTCACTCCAAGTATTCAAACTAGGAATATGTTTGCTGTGATAACAAAATTTAATCAGTAGAAATGTTACTCCATCTAAAATGGGAGCAAAGTGCTAGAATGCATTAGAGCTTTTACACACTTCATTGAATTGTATAACCTGAGTTCACTCCTGTAAGTCTCCATTCCAGAAGTTGTTAATTTTAGCCATGGCCGGGTAGAGGGCAAGCAACATCCTGCAGGAAGGGCAAGTCATGCCATGCCTTCCTAAGCTGAGAATGGTGCACAACAGAAAAAGGCATGTTCAGCACAGAAAGAGGTCATTTGGCCCATTGTGGCTGTGCCTGTAGTACAGGATTTCTGCACAGAACAAAATGAGCGAATTATTCCTTCAAAACATTGAAATAATTTCAAGGACAGAGATAAATTGTCAAATTGCCTCCAGTGTTTAAAACGTTTGACGTTCCACAATACATCACTGACTGACTCTCAGATCACTTTGATGGCGGACGATCATGAAAACAAGATGAAGCAATTAACATCACTTTCAACATACAAGTTATTACCTCTGCAGTGACATGGGGGGTGGGAGGGGAGGGTCTCCTCTAGTCAGTATATTTACCAGCCAATGTTCACACATGAGAAATTCCCATGCAATTTACCAACAATCTGAGCATAACCCATATACTCTTTGCCAGCTGTATAGGGATCTATTTTGTGGTCACAAAGGAAGAGGCTCATTAACACTGCAGAATAACACAAAATTCACTCTATGCTTCCTGTTCAAGCATAAACATACTGAGGTACTCATCAATTTTGCCTCGATAATGGTTACTTGTAAAATAATTCTAGTGTGGATGACAGTTAAGACTCAGGATTGTACCTTGGTGTACAGCTCAGTCTCAGAGCTGCAGAGGAACACTTCCTCACTGCACGTTTTGGTTATTAAACAACCGTAACAGTCACCAGTTGATCAATTATCATTTCCTATATAGTCTATCCATGTGAGGTTAGCACTAGAGAGAAGTGGTTTAACTACTTTATTGAATCTGATTCATCTTCTCAGGAATGTTTTTCTAATATTTACAGCAATCATCTTCAGCTCATTTAGGATGCCAAGGTAATTATAGGCTGCTTGAAATGATACAACTATGAATGGATGAGAGTAGGTAATAACCTCGTAATTTAATCAAACTGGCTCAGGGTGCTTCACAATTATGCAGCAAAGCTCAAGTGTTTTAAATACATTGGAATTTCCAAGGTTAAAAAATTACAGTACGCTGGTCTATAATTTTCTATAAATGGTCTCAATAATAGGAAAACAAAGCTTACGCTTCCATCATACTTACTGAGCCAAGAAGCTACTGTGGTATCATAATTGCAGAAAAAAATCACAGGAGTTTATAATATGTATGTGGTTATGCAATGAGCCCATTTCTAACTGGAATGATTCAATGACATCATAAAAAAGCAAATCCTTTATGGATAGTGTACAAATCCCAAGGTTAAATTAATATATCCGCTCTCCACCAGCTGAAACATGCAAAGCAGAGTGTACTACCATTTCAATAAAATGAAAATGTGTAACATGGTGTAAAGTCATCTCAAAATGACTTTTGAAATGCTGGTTGAGCGTCATACTGAACATGATTCACAGGAAACATTAACTGGAGGGAGAGAGAAAAAGATGTTTACGAAAAATAAATAAGAAGTGCCACAGCCCAGTGGCAGTGAGTAGTCATTCCAACAGCGAACAGCAATGAATTGGATGGTTTATAAGTTAGTGCCAGATTTCCCACAGAACACAAAATTGTAGCTGGTGCACTGCAGATTATTTTGTAGTTCGAAAGGATGACTAGAAGTGAAATAAATGTGTGTAATAAATTATTTAGAAGTTGTATCATCGATTATATACATATATCATTTTAAAGTTTTAAAATACATTTGTTTGGCATTTTAGATTTTTTTGGGTTATAAAGCAGTATTTCAGCATTTTACTTTGAACAGGGGCACAAAAAGTTGAAATAAAAAGTTTGCAACAGTTTGAGTGTTCAGTAAAACTGGAAACGGAACTTAGCATCAGTTTAAAAACTAGCGGACCTGTGTTTATCCACCAACCTAATGTAGAACAGTTTTTATTGCTGGAAGCTAAGCAGTAAAGAGATAAGGAAGATAAACCATAATTTCTACTTCCCCTCCATAATCAGATTCTCCCAGGCTGTGGAGGGTTATTAGTATGAGCAATAAAGCTCTTTGGATTCCCACCAATACCACCTCAGGAAATTTTAAGGTGATGCTTACAAAACACTTTATGAGAAGTGATGAGAATATCACAGCTCTGTATATGAAAGTATCAAACACTGGAATTTCCAGCTCTATTTCAAAACAAGCTCAATATCCTGATAATAAAAGCAATGTTTGTTACATTATAAAAATTAGCGTCTATTTAGGAAAAGATGTAAAATAAAAGCCTCGCACATTCATGACTTCCAGAGGGGTATATTTATTGCAATATTCACAATATTGTAAAATCGCGGCACTTAGACAGTGACATTTACTGAACTGTAAACTTCAGCCTCGATTCACCACTCTGAAAATAAATACTGGCATTTTATTAGCTTTTTACCAAATCACCATTTATTATACTTGCATCAATAAACCACAAATGCCTGTATGCAACCAAAGTGATACTTCCTTTCTCCTGTTTATTTTAGATGTTGAGTCATAAATGTTAACCTGTTATGGCAAGCACAGAAATTAATATATAGTAAATGTTGTAAACTTTAATTGTTTCACTAATGAAAGACATCAGTTCTCCTTCGAGAGCTCTTTTACATTCAGATCAATGGAAATCCAGGTGGTCATTTCTTTATATCTGCTAACATGTTTATCAAATTCTTTCCTCGGCTGGAAAGTAATACCTTAATTAAAAATAATAGGTTGTTTTAATTTTCTTTTAGTGAGGGATACAAATCTTATTGATCATTAGTTTGCAGACACTGAGCACAGAACGGTGACTCACAGATTAGCATACTGTGCTTTTGCTCTGCTCCATCCACATTGCAAATGTCAACAAATCCATTTCACAAAGAACAAACTAATTTTAACAAGTTTAAGAAACTTTGGGGAATTACAATGGGGAAAAACTACTCCCTTTACTTTCCAAAGCAGTAACTTTATCAATTATTTCCAAGGAAAAGTAGCACGAGTCAGTTACAACGTGCAACGTTTTTTTCATGACCTAATCTTCAACTTAATTTCAGCACAGTAATATTTCGATTTGTGACTATCAGGAAATCGTTGATAAATTGTTATAAATAAGTGCTGAATTTGGGGCAATTCTGGACTTTGAATGAGGGCAGGGAGCAAGCAAATTGGAGCGACTGAATGGAGACAGAAGAGAAAAATCAACTCACGAATCTAATATTTTCAGTCTAGTAATCATGGAGCGACATTTCTATTCATGAGTGGTTTCAATTTAAGGTTACAAAAATGTATATAAAAAAATCAGTGAGATGACAACCCAGGAATTTTGTTTCCAGGGCAAAGCACATCAACAAGGCTCAAGTTGTAATAATTGTTAATTTTACATCTTACTTTATTTTTTCTACAATTTAATGGCAGCTCTGAGTTTTGCAGAACGTCCTCGTGGATTTTCCTGAATTTCTTGAAGATCAGGAGTCAGCACTTTCTTCTGAATGTTTGACCAGTTCACACCACAATGTTCATGGATGCTAATTTCTGGTTCTTCCTGCTGTCTCCGCTGTCCTTGTCTAATTTTTTGCCTTGAACTGAGGTTAGGCTTTTCGGATACGTCAATTCCGTGGAGAAAACGCTTCACAATGCGATCTTCAAGTGAGTGAAACGTTATTGCAACCAAGCAGCCTTGGGGTTTCAAGAACTTATAAGCTGCTTTGAGTCCTTTATAAAGTTCATTCAGTTCATCGTTCACAAAGATTCGCAAGGCTTGAAAAGTTTTGGTTGCAACATGTGCAGGTCTTTGAAGTAAGTCTTTGCGTGCATACATTGCAGCTGCTGGAAAAGCTCCTGTGACGCCCCAAAACAAACAAAATTGTGTTTATATTTTAAGTACTCAGCACATGAAAAACTGTCCTTTCAAATAACAAAATACAGGATACATCTCAAGCAATGAAAAATATTCAGCAAGTAATCACACGGCAACTAGATATATCTGATCATTTCCACATCAAATGGTATCTTAAAAGTAGTGCATAATGTTTCTACCATGCCTTTTAAATTTTTGGTATTTTTCTTTACTTTTTTTTAAACCTTTTAGGTGAATTTAGTCAATTTAATGGTCTTTGCTAATACGCGTCTCAAAACATTATAAAGCAGATAAGGTTCACAGGATTGAGAATAAAATTCAATTGTTTGACAAATTATTTCTCAGACAAGACGCTTAAAACTTCTATGGGTATAAAACTGAACCACAACACAAGTGTAAGTTAAAAGTACTTCACTAGTTCCTGGTTCAATTAGGATTCAAATGCAAAACCTTTCCCCCTCAAACAAACACATAAGTACAGTAAAACTACCTATTCACTATATTCTCCAATTGCTACTTTGAGATGAACATGGAATATTGTATTGTGATTTCAAACCCCTCTGCAAATGAAAGGTACCAAACACAAAAGGAAAACAGACTTTGTTTGCCATGGATTAGCCTACTTCTGTCAAGGCCAAGATAATAATAATAATTCTTGCCTTTGATATAGTGCCTTCTCATGTCTTTGAGATGTCTCAAAGCGCTTCACGGAATATACTGTAAAGTGAATTGACAGTACAATCTTCAGAGTACGCAGACTTAAATGGTGCAACGCAACCGTCCTACAGGCTGGCCCTTTCTGTTTGCAGCTCATGGTATAATAACATGCAGTAGGCTCAATATCATGCCCTGTCCTCAGCTAAATTGAAAACAAGCAACCCAAGTCAGGTTAAGCAACCCATTAACCCAATTCTATTTCTTTCTACTCTCTGGAGAACTCCATGTACAAATATACCTAGATTTAAATAAAAACTCACCAATCCTTTAAAAGGACATCATTAAACATTTCTTTTCAGTCAAATTTACAAACTGTTATGGAAATGTTATTTAACAGGTCTGAGACAACATGGAATACCAAGCTGAAACATAATATACATCTATATCAAAGATTCTATTGCAGCCAAGCTGATACAATTAATAATTAATCCGGCTAAAAGAATATCATGAACTAACATTTAACCATTTTAATGACACTTCCTATTTGTCTTCTGCAATGTTATCTTTCTTAATATTGTAAGAGACTTAAAAAGAACAAAAAACAAACAACACATTTATCTTTAGATCTGAAGCTCATGAAAAATATGTTACCAGGATATTCTTACAAACGCTGTTTAACTACAATTTGAAATGCAACTCAGTGGAGGCAATCCTCTCAGCATAGCAGGCAGACTATTAACAATGGTATCAAGGTGCATCACATTCAATCAAAGATAAAGAAATAATCTTTACAAGTTAGTATGTTTTCTGACCCTGAAAGAGCTTGTGGCAGAACTATTTTATATATAAAAAAACTAATTGGCATAGTCTTCTTAAGGACAGGGATGATGGGGCTCCAGAATGAAGCAGTTTTCCACATATGCTGGTCTGAGCCATAAGAATAAAACAAAATTAGATGATTATATCCTTGAAACAATTAGTTTGAAGACTAATTAAACAAGTTAGCAATTATTCTATGATTTGGCAGAGAGGTCCAATTTCTCAAATTGGACAATACTCGCCAATTAAAGCGATTGCATTTTTAAATAAACCATTACACAAAATATAAATGTTTAATGCACTCAGAATAAGTAGCTGGATGATATTCACCCTTTACACAAGTTACACTAGTATATAATAAGAAGCATTAGCTGGGACCCTTAGTTCCGATTGCAATAATATCCTCTCAGAAACAAAGCAGCAAATTTATTTGAAGATCAAAAGCTTTAAAAGTAGGCAGCCAAAGACCATAGCTATTATAAATTGAATCCTAACACTCTTACACGATGGGACTCAAGATATGAAGGAATTTTCCAATCACACATAGACCAACCTATTGATTGCACCATAGATGCTGATAGCAGCAGTGGCTCACCACAGATGGTATTTAATTTGCTGCCTTTGGATGCAGCAAATTAAATACTCTGGTGAGACCAGACACTATTTTATTTTGCCATGGCCAGCTGAGCTTTCAGCCCACCTATATATTTAGCTATGCACTCAGAGCAACTTATTTTAATGTTTTTACCTTGGAATGAACATTAATATAAAAAATTTTTTTTAAATTCTGAAAAAAACTGAACAGTGGGGTGCACTGAAGGCAAAATTGCTTAAAAATTAGACATAAATGTTAAGTGTAAGTGAAAGAAGTGGCAAAACCCCAGAATTCAAATATTAGAAGCATAACGTCAGCTAACTCAAGCTTGGACTCAACGACCCATTGTTACTGTATAGATATATAGATATATATATACACATATATAGTTCTTGGGGTAATAATCCCTCCAAAATAATAACAATAATTTGGTCACTCAATCCACGACCGTTGGTGGGACACTGCTGTGCGTAATTGGCTGCTGCGTTTCACCCACAAAATATAAAGTCACTATACTTAACAGTATATCCAGTGAAGCGCTTTGAGACGTCTCAACGACATGATAAGGCGCTATATCAAATACAAAGATTCTTATTATTATTATAATAGAAGTAGACTGAACCTCAATCTCTGGGCAATTTTCAAACCTGGATTTTCAAAAACTATTACAAGTGTTCAGGGGGCAAATTCTTGGCAGATTCGTTACCAACTAGAACAAGTGCAATATCCTCAGCCAAAACAGATAGAAATCCCTTCATTTCCTTTCCCTTGGCTAGATTCCAAATCAGACTCTGGGCGTTGTTTGGGACAGATGCAGTATGCAGTCCCACAGAACACTGGAACAAACTTCAGTCTAACACCAACATGCATTAATATAACACTCATCACACGGGGTTGCGTCCCAGAGTGCTTATAAGGAACAAGATTAGCTTTTACATTACACTGAAACTATAACATGATTCCTACTGGCTTTTCGAAACCCAATTTAATTTTTTTGGTATCATCAATAAATTTAACATATTTACAGCTATAAAGTTAAATTGAAAATAATAGATTTGCTAAGTACTTCATAAATGTGCTTCTGAATTGTTTACTGGTTTAGAATTTGTATCACAAGTTACTGCAAAATCCTCCAGTATCCCAAGATACTATTTCTATTTTTCTGTATTGTATTGTAACAAGGTATACTTACTATTTGATAGATCCCTTTCGGAGTGGCGCTAGATCTCAATGCATTGTCCAGAAATAATCATGTTTAAAACATCAACAAGTAGAAAGGGAGCCCCTTAGATAGTACGCTGTAGTTGTATACAGTAAGAGTGCCAACACTGCTGATTGAAAAATGGCTTTCAACCAAACATTACATCAGCAGAAACATTTCCAAAGCAATTTCCATGTCCATCTGCACATTAAGGTTGTACCAAGGGGCTTCTCCTTGTCCTCCTATGGGTTCTCAGTTGGGGGGATGCAGGGGGGGTAGGGGGTGGAGAAGAGAAAAATCAACTCCAATGAACATATGAAACCCTTGTGGCCACGCCCGCCAGAACAGCATGCAACATCTTCAGGACAGCTGTTGAAGCAGCAGTGATACAATTTCAGTGTTCAATTCCACAAATATGGAGCAGAAGTTGGAAAGTTTCTAAGGCTCAATATCTCTGAGATGAATTGTGAGCTGGATGGCAGAATGGATGCACGCACACCAGAGTTTTATTTATGTAGAGCGACATCCATGTGGTGGTCATAGCGTAATTCTCAGTGACTTCTGGATGCAGTAACTTGAGGGAACACTATTGCAAAATGCTCCATAGTGGGTATAAATAGACTTAAGTCAATTTTCCAAGCAACGTTAACCAGAGCTTGCAGAACGGGAAAGGAATGATAAGAGAAGGTTTGGAAAATCTGCATCTATCTTTCCATATGATCTTAGATCTTGGCAGCTTTCAGATTAATCAGACCAATATTGTGCCAAGGGGATGCAAGTCAGATCAATGATCCAACTGTAAAGACACAGAGACCAAATAATATCTCATTGCAGAGATCCTTCCCAAAAGACATCGAGCCCTCTTTTGAGACAGTTCAAGCTGTTCCAATCCCTGATGCCCAGGAACTGGAGAATCATCTGGACACCCCAAATTAAACATCACTATTTATTTGCTATCGTTTCTCCAGTGGTTTGGGTTACAGAGGGGAATTCAACAAGGGATGGTGCTAGGAAAATGTAGGCTCTTGGTGAAGAAAATTACAATGCGATACCCATAATACATTTGCCAATACACTACATGTGTTAACAATCAAATGTTGGCACTGTGCATTGTTGCTTTCATTGATAAGTGTTCCGGGGAGCAAAGTTATAAATAATAATAAGCCTTGCATTTGACATAGCGCCTTTCATGTTGGAATGCTGTCTCAAACTGCTTCATAGGATATCATTCTAAAGTGCTGCATTTGTGTAGGAAAATGCAGTAGCCAATAAAAAACACATTTTCTTGTTATTTTTGGGATTCTAAGTACAACTGGTTTTCAAAAGATTCATACGCCTGGTGCCAAGACCACAGAATCTCTATTTGCTCCTGTAAGGAAACTGTAGAACTATTTACCAGAATAACCCAGATTTAATTAAAAAAATCAGCTTGAAATTATGAATTACTAAAACAGGCAGCATACAATTAATTTTTTTTCACAATGAGTGAATGACTGCATTTCATTGATGAAAAATATCTGATATTATAAATGATCTCAAATATGTTGACTGAAGTCTCTTAAATTGCCTTAAATCATGATGGTTTAAGGCCACTGAAATAGTTAACTTGCTAAATAAAATCTGTAATGTGCTGCACTCTTATGTCTAATGCATGAAAATCTCCAGAGTACCTAAAAACAGTATCTTCTAAAACATTAATTTGATGCTGG